GGTTCGAAGCTTTTTAGATTTGGCAGGATATTACCGACGTTTCGTGGAAGGATTCTCGGCAATAGCAACACCTTTAACACATTTATTGAAAAAGGAAACAAGGTTTGAATGGACCGACAAATATGAAAGGAGTTTTCAAGAACTAAAGCATAGATTGACAACAGCACCGGTATTGACTATCCCATCAGGACCAGGAGGATATGAAATTTATAGTGATGCGTCATTGAAAGGATTGGGGTGTGTACTCATGCAAAATGGACGAGTAGTAGCCTACGCATCAAGACAGTTGAGACCACATGAGTTGAATTACCCGACGTATGATTTGGAATTAGCCCCAATAGTATTCGCCCTTAAGATTTGGTGACATTACTTGTGCGGAGAGAAATTCCAGATATATAAGGTCCATCAGAGTCTGAAATATTTGTTTTCTCAAAAGGAGCTTAATATGAGACAGCGTCGTTGGATTGAATTACTTAAGGACTACGATTGTGATATTTTATATCACCCCGGAAAGGCCAACCGGGTAGCCGATGCATTGAGTCGGAAGTCAAGCATCGCACACTTGATGGTCAAGGAATGGACTTTATTGGAAAGAGTGCGAGACTCGGAGTTTAAGTTTGAAGTAAGTCAAGTCTCGAGCTTAATTGCCACTTTAAGAATCGAATTAGAAATCTAGACTAAGATTAAGACTTTACAGTCTACTGATCAAGAAATTCAAAGTATTCTGGAAATGGATGCTACCAAGAGAAAGCCGGACTTCCAAGTATCCGAGGATGGGATCTTGAAATTCCGTGGATGGTTGTGCGTGGCTGACGATGCAGAACTTAAGGAAGAAATCTTGTCGGAAGCGCATCGTAGTAATTATAGTATCCATCCGGGGAGTACAAAAATGTATTAGAATTTGAGACAATATTATTGGTGGAATGGCATGAAGGTGGACATAGCTAAGCACGTGGCCAAGTGTCTGACGTGCCAATAAGTGAAAGCGCAACATTGTAAGCCCGGAGGATTGTTGCGACCTTTGGAAATCCCAGAGTGGAAATGGGAACATATTACTATGGATTTTGTAATGGGATTACCAAGGGGCCAAAGAGGCCATGATTCCATTTGGGTAATTGTCGATAGATTGACAAAGTCAGCGCACTTCTTGGCCGTGCGAAAAGACTTCGCACTGGATCGGTATGCTGAGTTGTACGTACAACAGATAGTTTGTTTGCATGGGGTGCCAGTAACGATAACTTCGGATCGTGATCCTAGGTTTACCGCCAACTTTTGGAAAAGTCTGCAGATGACATTAGGATCAAAGCTGCAGTTTAGTACAGCTTACCATCCACAAATAGATGGTCAGTCTGAGAGGACAATTCAGACTCTAGAGGATATGCTTCGGGCATGTGTGTTGGATTTTCAAGGCAAGTGGGAGGAACAATTGCCCTTAGTTGAATTCGCGTATAATAATAGTTTTTAGCAGAGTATCGGGATGGCGCCATTTGAAGCGCTATATGGCAGAGCATGTAAAACGCCCGTATGTTGGGACGAAGTTGGAGAAAGGAGTATAACCGGACCAGAATATTTCAACAGTCAGTTGAGGCAGTTAAGATTATTCGTGAAAGGCTGAAAACAGCTCAAAGCCGTCAAAAGAGTTATGCAGACAGTAGACGAAGACCTTTGGAATTTCAAGTAGGGGATCACGTATTCCTTAAGGTATCGCCCATGAGAGGATTATCCCGATTTGGCAAGGAAGGGAAGTTAAGTCTGAGATACGTGGGACCCTTTGAGGTTTTGGAAAGGGTTGGAGACTTAGCTTATCGCCTTGCATTACCGCCAAATTTGTCGCAAGTTCATAATGTATTCCACGTGTCGATGCTGAGAAAATATGAACCGGACCCAACTCATGTGTTGAACTATGAAGAAATAGAAGTTGACGACAAGGTGTCGTATGTCGAAAGGCCAATAAGGATCGAAGATCGGAAAGAACGAGTTTTAAGGAACAAGACGATCCCGATGGTCAAGGTTGTTTGGGAACATCACGGGATAGAACGCGCTATATGGGAAAGTGAAGAGTTAATACAATGTCAATACCCCCGCTTGTTTGAGTAGCTAGGTTGAATTGTAAATTTCGAGGACGAAATTTTTATAAGGGGGAAGAGTTGTGACATTCTGAAATTAGACCCACTTGGGATTTATGAAATGGATGATTTTATGGACGTGCTTGTAATTAGATCTCGCCCGGAACTGATCACTCCTGGGATACTAACCGTTAGGGAATGGCTAATTAGGGATTTAAATTCGCGCGACCAAAGAAACTCGATTGTGAACCGACTTTCGACCATAAAAATTATCAATGTGACATTTTGAGCCAGTGTAGGCCGATCCAAGGATAGTTAGGGATCAATTCGCCGCCGACATACAAGTGGATCACGGGTGATTCCGTTTGATCACGAGATGAATTGACAAATGACCTTAAACCTATACCAAACGATCGCGCCCGTCGGAACTAGCGATTGATCCTCGCGATTACGTGACACCGAGGTCGTCACGATCCGAGTGAACTTAAACGTGGCTTGATTCAGTATCGGCGACGGGTCGAATGTGCGAATTTCCCCAAAAGCCACCCGTTAGTTCGAGATACGCTCAAGTTACGTTAATTAAATTTAGTCATTAATTAAAGACCAAGATTGGGCAATGGAAATTATGAAAGTCACGACAGGATAATTGGACGACTTTGTTATTGGCTTAGTCGGCCTCAGATTTGTCCGGATTCTTCAGAAAATTCGAATTCTGGCAAGAAATGGAAAATGATAGTTTTACCCTTGGGACTTTGTTAAGGCCAAGTATATTGTGAGAAGGGCATTTTGGTCATTTCACACTAACTTTAGAGATAAAAAATTTTGGACAATTTTACCCTTGGAAATTTTGTGAAATTCCAATTTTGCCCTTGGATATTTTTTGTAAGGATTAATCTTGGCCGTTGATCTTAGGATAAGGTTTAATCGTGGCCGTCGATTTGGAAATAGAGAGGAGGGTAGGATGGTCTTTTCCTAGGGGGTTGGACACCAATTATTGGTGTAAATTAGACTATTTATCTCATTTTCTCTCTCTCCCTCTCATTCTCTCACTCTCTCGGTAATCTCTCTCTTCTTCACCCCTCTCTCGGCCGACCTCCCCCTTTCCCTCTCTCCCACCGTGAAGTGGCCAGCCGGCTACACCCATCACCGCCGTCCGGTCGTCCTTGAAGCCACGGTCTCACCACCATCACCACCGCCGTCCCTCTCTCTCTCCCCTGTTTTTCCCCCTCACCAAAATACCATCACTAGCCACCCTTTTTCAGCCAAGAAAGCCAGCAGACAATCGCCACCGTTCGCCGCTGCTCGTGACCGCCGGTGAGTCGCGATAACCCTTACCGCTTGTCGCCGCCGCCGCTGCTATTTTCTTTCTGTCCAGCCACCATTGAGGCCTCGATTTCGCCTAGGAATCACAAGTAAGTGATACCCTAACCCTCACCTAGGATAACAAGTATTTTCGGGTTAGTTCGGGGCCGTTTTAGCAAGCTTTAGGGGTTATTCGTAGAGGAATGGTTGGACTGCTTTGGCTAAGTTGTTGGGATGAAATTGTGATGATTTTTTAGGTGGATTGGAGGTTAGAATTGATTGATTTTGTGATTGGAATGGTTACGAGTGATTATTGTGGCTTATTGCGTGAAAAACGAGCCTAAATGTGCCGTTATGGTAATTTTCTGTGGTGGCCGAATTACTGTTCATTCTGTGGCCGAATTGGTGTATATTGGTGATTAAGATATAGTACGTGTTGGTTTGGAGGTTGTCGATAGGAGTACGACACCCGTGAATGGTGAATTTGGCTTAAAATGCAAAAAACTCGAGTTAATTGTGCACGTGCGAATTGAATTGGATTGGCTGGAAATTTGGCATGTTTGTGTGTCAATTGAGCATGTGAAATGCGTGAGGTTCGATGCGTGCATGGGCTGAATTAGATCGGTTGGTAATTTGACATATCGGTGTGTCAATCGAGCATGTTCGTATGATGTTCGAGCGAGTGAACGGCTGAAAAATTTATGTGATATATCGTGCGTGTAGTCACGAAAATCCCTGAGGCGTGTACTGTAACGCAGGGAATTGAGCCGTCCTAAGGCGTGTACTTTAACGCGGGACAATGCCCGGTATTGCCGGAAGACCGCCAACCTGAGGCGTATACGTTAACACGAGTTGTGCCGTAGGTGGAGGATGTTGAGCCTGAGGCGTGTACTATAACGCGGGCAAGAGACATAGCCTGAGGCGTGTACTGTAACGCGGGCTAAGAAGCGTTGTGAAATTGAGACGATCGTTTGTGAACCATCGATTGAAAGTGGACCTGGTGCGTAATTACACGGGTCTTTGACAAGTTTAAAGAGAATAGTGTGGTGAGACGTGAACGAGTGTGTGAAATGTGGAATTGGAAATGCCATATGTTTGACTTTTGTCTCTCGACATGAAAATTTATTTGGAATGTGCATGTGGTTGGAATTTGTGTAATTGTGACTAACGTTCAGATTGTACACATTAAAAGCCCAGGTAAGTGCAATTGTGTGCCTGTGATGTACTTATTGAGTGTTATTGTGTTTGGACTTGTTTGGAGGTACGTGTTAGCCTAGGTGGGGTTTAAGGTGTTTACTTGCTGAGTTGTGTCTCACGGTTGTTTAACCAAACCATTTTAGAACCCCAGCCTGAACCATGAATCTTCCACCGCCGCCGCCTCAGCGTTTTGGTAAACCGATGCACACCGAACATAACGTGGTAGAGTATCCGATAGATGAGAATATGGCTTGGATCAAGCATACTACCGTAGTCTGGATAGATATAGGACAACCCCTCTGGCAAGCCCACACCTATACCGCCTGGTGTTTTCGGGATGGGATGGATGAGTTTGGCCCTGTCCGTGGTTTTGATGTCCCTTTCGACGGAGTGGGAGATTGGGATCCGTCAGCCATACCTCCTCCTGATGGGGAGATGACTAGCCTGGATACTAGTCTCGCACAGTCAGGGCATCAACACATACCCGCAGCACCTAAACCTTCAGTGGCTGAGCCTGATCCGGAGCCGGAAGAATCACAGGCAAGGTATGATCCGATGGGTGTGGATCTAGGTGCAGTGCCAGAGGAGGAACTCGGAGAAGAAGAGCCTAAAGAGGCACCGGAAAAAGAACCCGAAGACGAGCCAGAAGGAGATCCAGAAGTAGAACCAGAGGATGAGCTACAGGAAGAGCCAGAAGAGGAGTCTGAAGAGGAGGAGCGAATTGAGGTTTCGTTAGAGTCGGGTGATGAGGATAACCCGATTGAGATCGATGCTGACTCTGAGCCCTCAGAGGAGCAGGTGGCTCAGGGGGAATCAGATTCGAGTTCTGGGGAGTCTGACTCGGAGTGGACACCATCCAGAGGGCGTAGGGGCTAGTTTAGGGGTAGAGTGAAGGTTTTGAAGTGTCCCATTTTTTGAGCTAGAGTATACCCAAACTGCTGATCCTTTTTATTATCGGTGGAGTAGACTTTAGAAGCCGATGTGCATGTATATTATGTGTATTGTAAATGGAGTGTAATGGATAAGTTTGACTCGGAAGTGAATGTATATATATTCTCCCTATTACCCCTCTCAAAGTATTGTCTGGGTGTGTTGTTTCCACTAGTGCTTTATCTCTCTGACGTGAGGGGTCGGCGACATCCTGGGACGTCGCGATAATCGACCACAGAGGTATGTCGCGAGCTCGATGGGGTTTGGGGCGTGACATTGTTCCTCTGGCAAAGCTCGAGTTTTGCTAGAGCTCAATTAGGGTTCGAAGAAAATGAGTGCTCATCGGGGCATTGGGAGAGTGGACATGGATGATGGATAGTCCGACTTAGCTACAAACGTCGAGCCAAGGTGAAGATTTGTTAATATATGTTTTAAGTTACTCAAGGAATCCAATTCAAGTAAATTTCCTAATCTGGGTAGGATTCTTAGTTTGAATAGGTTTCCTAAAAGGAGTTCCTTCTTTTGGATATAAATGATGAATATATAAAAGATGTAATTTTACTCGGTGGAGAGAAATATTAGAGTAAATAAGAAGATTGTTAAGATTTCATGTCTGAAAGTTTTCCAAGTGATTTCTTTGTAAGAAATTGTAAAATAACACTTGTACGTTTGCTTTGGATGTAATTGGAGATTGAGAAATACTTGAGTCAGCAAGCGATTGTAAGTTATGTACTCTCCGAATTCATAGTGGATTTTTTTTGGGGGAGCTTTCCCGTAGAATAGATATTGACACTTGGACAAAACCATGTGAATATCCTGTGACATTACCATTCCTTGTTAATTTCATCAATAATTTTGTTCTCTCACTTTTGACATAAATTACAAAATTAGTTAATTTCCGCATCATTTTTACAACAGTTCAAAACTCTACCCTCGAATTTCGATTTGCAATGATGTGCTGTGTATTAAATTTTAAAAAAGGTGATATTTCACCTCCCAAGCTTTCAGTTGTGCAGTTGAAGCTAATTTCGATTGCATTTTTCCAATAGAAAGTGACCATAAAATTGCTCAGATTTCACTTTGGTGCCCCTAGTCTAGTCATTATCATATGTCATCCATCATTTACATATCATTGCGTAGACTACATGGTGCACAACAAGTTATCGCGTAGGCTTAATCTAATAGGTTATATCAATCCTACATTAAGAAACAGTAAGAACAGCGGGTCCCAAAACAAATACTTGCCACCTGCCTTTAATAGAATAAGTTTATATTCCAATATTTCTCTACGATATTATTAGCAATGCACTCTGATGAACAGAATTTGTTATCTGTCAATTTCCAATTCATTAGATTACTACTTTGATTCTACTAAGCAGGATCTTGCTTGCAATTGTAGCCGTTGGATTACCACCAATTGAACATCTGACAAAGACAAATATTGGCAAAAATACATAGGAGAGGAGACCATGGCTCTTCTTCTTTCCATGATTCCGTGCCCGCGCAGCAAGACCAAGGGATTCATCAACGTAAAGATGAGTTCTTGCTTCACCATCTCCCTCTCTCTCCTCTTCTTCTTCATAAGTTTTGTAGGTACTGAATCAGCCCCTACGTTTCTACGGCATTACTGCCCAAACACTACCCTCTTCACTCCCAACTCCACCTACGAATCCAACCTCAACACCCTCCTCTTTTCCCTCTCCTCTGCTGCCACTGACAGCGCCGATGGCTTCGCCAAAGCCACTGCCGGCCAAAACCCTCCCGACCAGGTCTACGGGCTCTTCCTCTGCCGTGGCGACGTCGACACAGCCACGTGCAACGACTGCATGGCCACTGGAAAACAGGATATACTCGAAAGATGCCCTGACCAGCGAATCTCTGTGATCTGGTACGATGAATGTATGTTGAGGTACTCCGATGGACCCATCTACTCGGTCATGGAACAAGTGCCTTCTCTCACGATGTACCACACCGGGAACATCACCAATCCAACCCGGTTCATGCAAGTCCTGGGTGAGACCATGGATGACATCACCGCGAGGGCTTTGGTCTGCAAGTCGGGGAAGAAAGTCGCAGTCGCGGAGGTGAACTTCACTAGCTTGCAGAAGCTATACACGCTCGCGCAGTGCACGCCAGACTTGACGGTGATGAAGTGCAACACGTGCCTCCGGGCGGCAATCGCAGGCCTCCCCCAGGGGAAGCAAGGTGGGAGGACGTTCACTCCAAGCTGCAGCATGAGGTTCGAGCTGTACCCATTTTATAATGCCTCGGCCGTGGCGGCCCTGGTGCCTCCGCTGTCCGACCTTCCATCTCCTCCTTCTCCCGTGACCAGACGTAAAGGTACGTGTATTTTTTTGTTATTTGTCTTCCACTATAACAGAAAGATCTGTCCAATTTAATTTTATTTTGGTAAACTCCTTATTCTATATAGTTTAAATTCTTGAATTGATTTTTTTAAGGGAAAAGAACATCACAAGTGTCATAGTTCTCGTACAGGGTACCCTAAATTGAGTGGCATCTAACTTTCAAAGAACGTTCACTTGAGTGACGTCTGACGTGTTATTAATTTAATATAAAATCGTCCGATATGATTCACCAGGGAAATGATGTCATCAAAAGCGTGCAGAAAAAAGTCGTTTTGCCCTTTATTATCCCAAATTGACGAATTAGGGCTAAGTCCAACTCAAACCTAACCCTGACCCTAAATTAGGTTCGACGGCAGCCAGTCTTTATCTTGCGGGTGCTGCCAAAGGTCGCCTTTGGTACGAGGGCGCCGCTGCTGGTCCCCGAGGCTCGCCACAATGGAAATCCTTCTGATTTATGGTAACATAGCTTTCTCTTCGTGGGATTGACTGGTAATTCGGGTAGTGAATATTGTAGATTTTCCCATTGAGGCTACATGCTCAAGTAGCAGCGCCTAGGACCATGCGTAATAGGGTGTGCAATGGGCTCGTGGCGATTTCCTTCCTCTCAATTTCCTGAGCAATCACTTGGTTGTCAATTTGGGGCAATAAAGGGCTAAACAACATCGTCACTGCACACTTTTGATGATATCATTTTCCTAGTCAGCCACATTGAGTAATTTTATATCAAATTAATACCGCGTTAGATTTTTCGACAAGGAAAATAGTTAGAGTCACTCAATTGAAAGTATTTTTAGAAAATTATGATACTCAAGTGATCGCTTGAAAAGTTATTGCATCAAAGTAAACACTGTATTAGAGTTATGGCATTTGTAGTGTCATTTTCCCTATTTCAAATGCCTCTTGTTGAGGTAAGCCTACGACAATCAACAAGTCATTTTTAAGTTAAACGGCAATAAGAAAGAAATAAGGGTAGTTGTCAGAGTAACTGGAATGAAAATTTAACTCCGAAATAACCTTACTTAAATCAAACACAATCAGCGCAAAATTTGTGAATGATCAACCTAAACCCAAAACTACGCAGTTCAAATATGGAAGAACCAATTCAAGGAGAATGAAAAGCTTGAATCAATACAGATGATTGTTTTCCACTCTGTAAGTCCTTAGCAACTTTATTTAGCCAAATCTACAATATCACAAACTGGTATGTACTTACAACATAATATCATGGGTTTTAGCTTTGTCAACTTAGGACGAATAATAAGGGCCATGTAGCCAGACATCACCCAATTCTTTAATACAACAGGAACAGTGGACACATTCAAGTTCGGCAGATGACTTCAATATCTTAACTCCTGAATGTCTCGATATCCTCATAATCTATAAGGACAAAGGAAAAAAGCAGCAAATACTAGGAAGGATCCAAATATTATCTGCCAAAACTGCGTCAGCTTCTAACAGTGGAGTAAAAAAGCCCGGCCTTAGCAGGTCATGGAGGCTACAATACTTTCGAAAATGATTGATGTAGAGAGCCACAGTTCTGACTGAAACCATTTTACTATTGCCGAACGAAGCACTTTGGTCATTAAAAATCTATATCGCAATGGAATGTTGGCATTATGTGATGCACTTGAACTGAGGAAGCCACTATGTATCCTGGCCCAACTGAAAACTAATTTATTCTATAAAATGAACCTATTTGAAGCAGACTCAAAGAGAATCTACATACTTTAAGCTTGATTCATAGGCCTTGCTTCGCAATAATGCTGTAGGGAAAAAGGACGCTATAAGTGCCATTATTTTCATACAGAGTACACTTTGGTGTCATAACGTTTTAATCCATCACTTAATTTTTATATTTTTATTTTTTTAAAATGTTCATTTGAGTGACTCCTATGATTTCCTTTACCGAAGAATCCGATGTGGTCTTAATTAATATAAATTATCCAACGTGGGTCGCTAGGAAAACGATACCATCAAAAGCCCGTAGAAACGATGTCGGTTGGCCTTTCTTTGCCCAAATTAACGGCAATGTGGTTGCTTGGAAAACGAGAGAAGGACATCTCCACGAGCCTGCTACACACCCTATTACCCATGGCCCCAAGTGCTACTGGCCGCAAATGGAAAATCTCCGATATCAAATCCAAAATTCTGGTCCAATGCCCATGGGAAGAAAGCTACGATACCACAAATCGGAAGGATCACCATTGTGGCGGGCCTTGAGAATCAGCAGCGGCGCTGCCTTTGGCGCCTTCGCTCCAAGGGCATCCTTTGGCGGCACCCGCAAGATAAAGATTCTCCACCATTGGACCTAATTTGGGGTTACTGTTTGAGTTGGATCTAGCCTTAATTCATCAATTTGGGTCAAGGAAATGGCTAAACGATATTGTTTCTAAACGCTTTTGATGATATTATTTCCCCGGTGAGTCATGTCTAACGGTTTTATATTAAATTAATGTCACATCAGATGTTCCGGTAATACTTAAATAAACTTGACATTTTTAAAAGTAATGACACTCAAGTAATTGACTAAAAATTTTCGACACCAAAGTGAGCGTCTTACAAAAGTTATGGCACCGGACG